CCAAAAAATCTAAAATAGATTCCCTAGAACCATATGGGAAATTATATAAGGATTATATAGGGGTTATCATGGGTCTATACAGGGGATCTAATTTTTAGATCCTCCCAGGGGTCTGGGGTAGAAGCCTGAAGGATCCACTTTCGAGAACTACTTGAGGTACCATATACAATCACAGCTAATAAAGGAGTCCAAAGCCATCATATTGCAGTTTTTGTTAGGGCTTCTACCTTCGCCACCAGGCCGTGAACCAGCGTAAAAAAGTTGACCCTCCCAAAAGCATTTGGAAACCCATATGAGCTATAGTCTAAATTCCTTGTAGAGGATGGGGATTATAGAGGACTACTATAGGGCTTATTAAGGGGGATACTAGGCGTTTAGACTATAGCTCATATGGTGGGTTGTCGAAACTATGCCTCCCCCCTCCCCCAGCAACATACGGCTCCAGATATACTGGGTACCGACAAGGGACCATCATTTTGAACAAGCACCATAGGAAAACCCTGTCCGAGAGGTCAGTAGTCTTCATAAGGCGCCTTTTCGTGTCCCGTTTCAATTTGGGACCTTAAAGCTTTTCTAAGGCCAAGCTGAGAATGGGCTGCATAGCTCAGGTTTGGGGTTTACTAGGGTAGGTTTGGGGTCCCTATTAAAATTGAATTTTCATTGATGTGTAAGGATTATGTGGGAATTAAGGCAAACAAAACTTGAAAAATGCATGTTCACACTTACCCCTGTCTAGGTGCCATCATAAGCCTTGCTGCATTTGGAGTAAACTCCTCAAGGAACACCTTGATTAGATCAATGGGTTGAAATTAAGACATCTTCACTGGGTTGCTCTTAAGGAACTTGAATTATGTTACTAGTACTATAGTATGGAAACCCTAGTATTTACTACCTACGACTAGTATGGTAACTCGAAGCCTAAACCACAAACCCTCATATTCTCAGAGTATGGTACCTTAACTCAGGTTCAAGTTCCTTTCCTCCAACCTAGTTAAACCTTGGCTTGTTCAAGAGCGGTATATGGCATATGGCTACATTTCAAAGTTCGGGCGCCTCATGACTTGACCTACTGCTCAGGGTTTGGGGCTTTGGGCTTAGGATTTGGGGCTTCGGGAAAGACTCAAAGGCCCAGGAAATTGAGAAAGCCCACATCCCAGACCCCACACTCTGTGCTGTACTTTGTTATGTTATCTTTGCTATAAGACATAGCGCACAAATGCCACCTTGAATTGAAGCCACCAAGATGAGGTTAGAGGTATGGGCCCACAGTACGTAATTATGGCGTGACTACGCATCTACTGTACATATGCTTACCCAGACCTATATAGACCCAGTATAACCCCTATATAATCCTTATACAATTCCCCCTACGGTTCTAGAGATCTAATTTTTAGATCCTTTTGGGGGTCTGGGTACACACAAACTCCTGAGGATACTGCCAAAGATGGCTAAGAGTCTTATACTTGCAACCCTTTCAAAGCCTAATTGTTCGAGGATGACTGCCTATCCTAAACCGTAAACCCTATCAAAGCCAAATGTTCGAGGGTTACTGCCAATCCTTAACCGTAAACCCTATCAAAGCCAAATGTTCGAGGACCTACTGCCAACCCCAAACCTTAAACCCCATCAAAGCCAACTGTTCGAGGACTACTGCCAACAAAACCCTAAACCCTTTCAAGGCCAAATGTTTGAGGATTACTGCCAACCCTAAACCTTATATAAACCCTATCAAAACCAACTGTTCGAGGATTACTGCCAACCCTTAACCGTAAACCCTATCAAAGCTAAATGTTCGAGGACTTACTGCCAACCCTACACTGTAAACCCTATCAAAGCCAACTGTTCGAGGATTACTGCCAACCCTAAACCGTAAACCCTATCAAAGCCAAATGTTCGAGGACTTACTGCCAACCTTACACTGTAAACCCTATCAAAGCCAACTGTTCGAGGATTACTGCCAACAAAACCCTAAGCCCTATCAAAGCCAAATGTTCGAGGACTACTGCCAACCCTAAACCATAAACCCTATCAAAGCCAAATGTTTGAGGATTACTGCCAACCCTAAGCCCTAAACCCCAATGTATAGCCTATTATAACATAACAGTTTCCATTGTATTTTCCATTATCCCCTATAACCCCAATATATAACCCCTATAAATCCTGCAGTTTCCATTTTCTTTTCCATTATCCCAATATAACCCCTGGAACCCTAAACCGCGTGCGTCCTGAACCGACAGTGCCACGGCAGCGCCCCACGCCGCAATCCAGGCCGGCGTACTGGAGGAGCCTGGAAAAGTGCATGTGTTTGGGGATCCTTTAAGAGTGGTATGGGGGGGTATGTAGGGGATCTTTACGGTTTGGGATATGGGGTTTAGGCTTCCGGGCTTAGGCTTCAAGGACTCAGGCTTTTTGGCTTCAGGTGTGGAATTTTTGGGTTTAGAATGATATAGGGGTCTCATTTGAGGGGCTATACGCTTCGGGTAAACATGTGCGCATCAGGAATCCATTCCCCCTTACATTATATATAGAACTACCCTACACTATACTCAAATGCTTCTTTCCAATCAGCTAAGGGCCTACGCATTCTCGTGCTGACTCCTGTGTGGCAAGGTCCAAAACATGAACCACTAAAAACCCTGAGGTCTTTGTTTACCTGATGTATAGCTTGTGCCGGGCCCTGGACCTAAGAAGCCCCCAAAGCAGGCTAAGGGGACATACTAGTCTGGGTAGATTCCTTGGATATGGTCCCCCTTAAGTAGATAGAATATGGGGCATATAGGGATTTTATTATAATATACCAAAGCCATATTCTATCTACTTAAGGGGGACTATACCCCCAACAGGACACACTGCCCAGCTGGGACCAATCCAGGGGTTTCCAAGAGGGTCTCTCGGCTGGGTGCCTCCCAGCAGCAGTTCGGCAATAAGGATATCATAGTTGTGCATCTATACATATCTACATATCTATATGTATACTTGTGTGTTTGTATATATATATATATATACATGGCAGTCTCCCTAAATAGAGAGCCCACAATATAGACCCCCAAATACGATCATCTCCATCATTATATGGGGAATCTAACTGAACTAGGGGCCCATGCTTGCAACCTGTGACACATGTTTCAATATAGCCCATAAGTACCCTCAAGGGTCCCTAGAATCCCCCTAAAACGCCTAAGGCCTAAGGGCCCATATTAGGGGCCCGTACTTCTAGCCTTACAATAACTTCAGGCTTTGCTTTCCAGGCTTGCGGGCTTCAGGGTTTCCCAGAGCTTCCCTTTCCGAAGTGTGAACTTTGAACCCGGACCAAGTTGGTGACCTGTTTGGTTAGAAGAAGGCTTTCGGGTACATTCTGCATACCGATTACAAAAGAATAACCTTAGCAGCTCTTTTTCCAGTGTTCTGGGGGCTGAACTTGATGGATTCCACGACTGCACCAGGGTGTCATCCAAAACTTTGCAGGGTTCATTTTGGGGGGTCACTGTAATCATTTGGTATTTTGGGTCTCTCATGGACTAATTGTTGAAAAAGCCCATGTCTTTACAGGCAAACCGAAGCCTTTAGTTCTCCTGCTGCCTCACTGCAAGCGGCCTGCCGATTTTGCGCATGTAGAAATGATGTCCGTGTAGTCTCATATGGCCGTGGATTGAAAACCCGGGTTGTCGTGGCCCACCCCCCACCCCCTGTTACAGGTCTGCACCATAGGAGAACTTGTCGTAAAGGCGTGCGTCAAAGGGCAGAAAATTCTGTTGCAAGCCTATGTATGTCGCGGAATGGCCGTGCAAGTTTGTTACAAGCCCGGTGCATTTTCATTGTCAGCCATATGGGGGTTTCCCATGCATTCTGGGGGGTCCCTTCTGTGGACACCAAATGGAAAGCTTCCACGCAAGTGAGAACTGATAGCATGAAAACGAGGTTTTCACGTTGGCAATGGCAACAGGTGCTGCAGGGCCCGGCCACGCCTATCCAAGCGTTTATGGCCGGGCTACCAAAAAAGCCTCAATACCGCAAACCTGCTGTTTGCTGGAATGGGGCTGTCCCATTTACATGACAGAAAGCTCCTCGCGCCACCTGAGGGGAAAAACTCTCTGGACTTTCCCAGTGAGTGTCTTAAAGCTTCCCAGGCACGCAAGCATTAGGCTTCCTCCAAACGAACTACATAACAGCTGGCACGGGTAAGGGCCCGGGTTTACGTTACAAATAGACAAATCATGACAAATCGCTATTTCCAGTAGTTTTGATGTCCTGATTACCACTACTACCAGTACCATAAGCACTCTCCCTTGCATTACCATTTATTCTACCCGTAGCACGATTACGACGACGACTGCTACTACCACTACTCCTAAAAACTGAATAAGATAGCAGTTCCTATGTCCTGCTCCATCTCTCACTACATCCGCCTCACCCTGAAAGTAAGCATATCCCGCGGCTTTCAAGAGTCGGGCCCTTCACAGCACGCGCCGCATGGTCGCAGAGTCTCGAAACAAATGCCATGTGCAAACGAAAGCGGCCTTTTAGAATTTAGAGACATCAAACTGTCAGATTTTGTTTAAGAGCCAATTGCTTGTCCAGCTGCCGGTGGCTGTAGCCACACTCTCTGCAGGAACTGGATACTACTGCGAGAAAAAAATTGTCCTCATACTGGTTACTAGGCGTACACTACTCCCCGAGGCAATGTAGAAGCCTGAATGATGAGGGAGGCGAGCTAACCAACCTGCAAATGAAGTACATGAGCTATAGCCTAAACTCCTAGTATCCCCATTAAAAATCGCGATAGTAAGACCCATATATGGTCGCCTATATAAACCCTTGAAGGAGTTTAGACCATAACACATATGACTGTTCTAAAGTTCGAGGCCTGCGCCAAAGACTCGGCGTATGGTCACATCTCACAATACATCACTTTACAACCGAGTATAGCCCCAAACTGATCCCCATTAAGCAGTATGCACCTAGAAAGGCCTGGCGTACTGAGCCAGGATAGTGAAAGATCAGATCCTGTCTCGATTTCCTCTGCACCTTAGCAAAAAAAGTCCCACTGTAGGCCTTGCGGGCCGTCGCAAGTGACACCAACGACGTACTTCGGGGTCCTGAAGACTGAGGTAGTAGACCCTCTTGCTTTTCCCAGACCCCTGAAGTACAAGACGTGAGCAGAACTTAATTGAACCGGCAGATCCTGACATCATCTCTGATGATTCAGGATGCCTGGACGATCATGTTGTCCTGATGAACCATAATCGTGTGAAAATCTGCAATCTTCTGGCAGAGTGCCACGGTTATGCTGCTCTGAACAAAAGGTCAAAGCCTTCACGAGAAGGGAGGGTATGCTGCCTCGGCTGTGTGCATGTCCTGATGCTTTGAGCGAAACCTCCTTCAACTGTAAACTCGAACCCTAAACCCTAAACCCTAAACCCTAAACCCTAAGCCCTGAACCGACAGTTAAAGCCTAAACCTGAGACATTGGCCTCAGACCCCAAAACAGTAACTCGACCCCTCACAAACCTGCGCTTGGATTTTCGACTTTGTTTCTAGCAGCTCAAGTCTTCGACCCTCAAGAGACGCTGGCTGAATGCAAAACTATATATCCTGAAACTGATGCCCCTGCCCAGACCCTCCTATGTAGCTCCTGTTTTGGCTACTATATTGAAATCCGTTAGGAACAAAACCATTCAAAAAAAGAGGAACTACATAGGAGCCCCCTAAACCCCAAACCCAAAACTCTAAAATTCTTGGGTAAACCCTAAACACCTATAGTGGGAGCCAGAGGCTTCCCTGAAAGTCTCCTGAAATGATGTAAAAAGCCTGACTAGGGTTTAGGGTGTAGGGTCTATGGTTTAGGGTTTAGGGCTTAGGGTTTACGGAGGGATAAGGGTTTAAGGATTCAGGTCTGGGGCTCGAATTCCGTTAGCAAGTGTACGGCTTAGGCCTTAGGGCTTAGGGTACTGTAGGTGCTAAATAGTATCAGTTCTGGGTGGGACATATGGTAAAGATCTACACAAGGACAATACGGATGGAACTGTGGCAGCTATTCGGGCGTCTACACTGAACACCTTGCTAAAGACGCTTGTTGGGGGAAGTATACATATACACCTGCTGAACTCATCTGTATACGTCCCCATATACACCCTACATGAGCTAGAGTCGAAACTCCCAGCATCACCCTTAACAATCCCCATTATACTCCCCTATATAATCCCCTATACAACCCCCTTTAAGGAGTGTAGATCACAGCGCACGAAAAACCTGTATAGCACCTTTTGGCGCTCCATGTTAGTTTTGGGGGAGGGGAGGTGCTGGCTGGCTGGCTGGCGCAATGACGTTTTACGAAGCTTCCGCACAACCCACCCCACCATAAAGGGGGACAGGTTGTTCCTAAGCCCTAGGGGCCTTGAGGGGTTTTGGGGGTTTCCTAAAACTTAGGGGTACCATTCAAAGAGTTCCCATAGTAAGGATTTTAATATTCTGGGGTCTATATTGGGGTCCCCCTGTTTTTGGACATTACTATTTACCATCTAGTCGATGCCCAAACGCCCCCTCTTGACCCCCTTGTACGCTACAGCCTTAACCCAACCTCAGTTGCAGACCCTACTCCCCAGCAACCCTCAATCCAAAATCCAAACCCCATCAGGCCACAACCCCAGACAGGAAAGCACGAAAGGTACAGGAATTGTCCAATCGTCCCTAGCAGCCGCCAGCATAGCTTACCCCAATGCAGTCACGATAGCACTTAAGCCCTTTCAACCTACGCTGAGAGCATAGTAGCCTCCTGCGGGCACCAACATATTTAACGCAAGTGGTTTCGTGAAACACTTCTTGGTAGGGAATAAGGGACTATAACTCTTACATCATTACATTGCCCCATATAACGTAGTCCCGGCCCATCTTTCCTACCATGAGCCAGTAAGCTAAACAAACCTTACAATAGAATGCACGGAGACATGATCTCAACGGAATCGCCCTGCAACCCTACAACGTCCCAACTGCTTCCCCCTCATGTTGAACAGCACCAGCCCCCACACTAAACACGCTCCCCAATGTATGAGGTCGCTTTTAGCCAATATTCAATGTTAGGGTGTCGGGGGTGGGCGGGGTGGCTTAAATAGTAGGGGAGGGAGTGAGAAGCGCATCAGCAACCCCAAGCATAGGGACCTCAGTTCACCTACCCTAAACTTTGAACCCTACATCCCCAAACTCTAAACCCTAAACTCTAAATACCAAACTCTAAAGCGAAAGCCCTAAGCCCTAAACCCTAGATCCCAAACCCTACACCCTAAATCCCAAGCTCTAAACCCTAAATCCCAAACTCTACACCCTAAACCCTAAATCCCAAACTCTCAACCATGTGGCCTGCCAGGGATCCTGTGACATCTGGACCATGTTCGCCACCATCATTGAGGCTTGCCTATAGTCCCCCTTGAGAATATGGGGGTTATTTCGGGATAATGGAAAAGAAAATGGAAACTACTATCTTATTTAGGGTTTAGGGTTCATGGTCCTTGTTAGGTAGATAGAATATGGATTTGGGTAGATTACAACAGGATCCCTATATACTCCAAATTCTATCTACTTTAGGGGGGCTATAAACAGGACAGATTAGGGTTCAGGCAATAGGTTTTAGGGTAGAAGGGTTTGGGGTTCAGGGTAGAAGGGTTTCCGTGCCAATGCAATACTGCCATGTAATGGGAGGAATCGAGGGGTGGTGGGGGAGTTCGCTATCAGCCCTAAACCCTAAACTCATAGCATGGTAGTTTCCATTATCTTTTCCAGTCCGCTACATACCCCTAGGCTCTATACCATAACCCCTAAACCCTATACCCTAAACCCTAAAACCCAAACCCTATACCCTAAACCCTATACCTAAACTCTAAAACCCAAACCCTATACCCTAGACCCTATTTCCTAAGCGCAATATGAATTCCCTAGTTTTGTCGGCGCTTCCGGTTCTCAGCAGGTTGGCCAGAGTGGCACCTGCCTACTCTCAGTTTCCCGGCGCGGCGTCTTATCAAAACCTTACTTAGGGTTTAGGGTTTAGGGTTTAGGGGGATAAGTGGGGACAAGGGGATAAGTTATATGGTGATGATATATGGACTTTGGTCTTATCGGGGATCAGTGGGGAAGAAGGGAGTAAGTTATATAGTGATTCTGTACGATTATGTTCCCCTACCCTCTACTAAACCTGAACCCTGAACCCTCTATATATATATATGTATATATAGATGCCCTACACTTACTAACCACCAGTAAGAGTTGTTTGTAAGCTGCCATTCCATGCCTGCAGAGGGTTTCACCAGTCCAGGTTGGCCAGGGAACTCGTGTTGCCCCGTCAGGAAGATTTGTGGGGCCAGATATCATAATATGAATAGCAGAAACAAGGAGACTAATGTTGCACGCGCTTTTGCCAAGAGACTCTTCTTAGTGATCCGGCCGCCGCTTCAAAAGAGTTGCGGCCCGGCCTACTCCTTTCTCGACTGTCTTTAACGTGTTTTGGCTTTGTGCCACTAACCGAGTCCAGACCATCCCCTTGTGAAGTAATCCCCAGGGCCTCCCCAGACCCCTCAGTACCGTGGGAGCCTTCTTGAGGACGCCTATTTTAAATTTCTTGGAGGCCCTATTGTTACGGGGGGAGGAGGGGCCCATGCACTAAAGAGAGCGCAACATTAGTAATAATACTAGTTATAAGACAATAACCATCGAGGTTTTTGATGTACCCTAACCAAAAATATGAAGGCATCAAGGAGCATTATGTCGTTGTTTTTTCTTGCCTCGACACTGGCCAAGATAAACCTTAAGCCCTAGATAAGGAGCCGAACCTACAATTTTGGCTCGTACGCCTCAGCTTGGAGGATCCTGTTGCTGGCCATTTAGTCTTTAGGTTTAGGGCAATAAGTGGCTTCTAGTCTTTCTGGAAAAGGAATCTAGGTTCCCCAGTAACCCATTCAAAAAAAAGGGTACCCTTTGTGCTAGGAACCTGAAAATACAAAAGGGAAAAAAGGGTACTACTGGGGATACCTAGGAATCCCATGAGATGAGCCGAAAATGGAAGCCCGGAAAAGCCCTCCAGACTACCTAGATAAAGAAGGCCCCTCCAAGAGACACTCCCAGCTACATCATGAACTCGACAAAGCTCTACACAATCACTGCATAGGCCCTAAGCCCCAAACCCCAAAATATAGTTTCCATCCTATTTCTCCATCATCCCAAGATATCCCCAACATAACACCCATGCCTCCTTGCGGAACTTGTGTAGAAGACATACTTTCATCCCTCCAGGAACTTTGCAGTCTGAGGTTGCCTACCGGTGCTAGTGAGAAATGAAGGAAGTACTCCCTCAAGTAATCTACACTAAACCACGTCAATTCCTTGAAGCCCTGAATCACATAGAATACTTCTTACCCCTATAGGCCACACAGTAACCCCAGCTTCCCCATAAGAACCCACTTACTACTCGCAGGGTCAGGGTGACTATAAAGTCTCATATGATCCCTACATCCCACAATCAGGATCCCTAAAAATCCCCGTAACCCTATAAACCCAAATAAGGATCCCTATAGAACCCCCTAGACCCTATAAACCCTCATCAGGATCCCTATATATCCCCCTTAGCCCTAAACCCCAAAGAAACCACCAACCTGCCAGGTTCTGAGTCCCACGCATTTGCTGCAACATCTGCATCTGCATCAAATGCTCCTGTAATTTCTGTTGAGCACCTTGGACTAGGGGTTTAGGGATCAAGGCTTACGATTAGGGGGTTAGGGTTTAGGGCTTAAACCTAGGGTTTAGGGCCTAAACCTAGGGTTTAGGGTTTAGGGCTTAGGACTGGGGTTTTGGTTGAGGGTCTAGGGTTTAGGGTTCATGTGGAGCCAGAGAAAGAAGGCCTTTCAGACTACTCTGCGTTCCACACGCTAGTTAGTTCATGCAAGAGGAACTGGGAAGGCATCAATGTCCAGTGAGAGCGGCAACATCCCCGGTTTAGAGCTTTTTGGGATAATGCAGGGGCCTGAATAATTACCAATATGATTTCGAGATCTAGTTCCGGTATCCGAAACCATATGAACTAGTCCACTCTTCAGTCTCCCTTAAAAAGGCTAATAATGAAAGTAGCTCATATTTGTGCAAGGAGTCTAGGCCCACCATGTTGATAATTATCCCTCTTCACCCCTACATGAACCTATTTTCTATTTCATGTTCCAGTTTCTTTCCATTTGAGTCTCCACTGGTGGCAGCCTCTACATGGTAGTTCCAGAAATTCGTCGGACCCCAATGTAGATCCCAAAAGACTCTACCCTACACCCTAAACCGTGAATTCTAAAGCCTGAACTCTACAGGGATGCCCAAATCCCCACCACAGACCTGGCAAGGGTGGTTTTTTTTTGAGGCCACTCACCGAAGCTCACGCCAAACAGAGGCCCTAGAACCCCCAAACGGGCTTACATGTGGCCAGGCCTCAAACCCCAAACTGTGTCCAAAGCACCTCGGGACATAGGAATTTCTCGAAACGGTCTGATGGAATCCTTACAGAGGACCCCCAATCCCCTCATATCCCCGAATTCCCTAAGGGCTCCCCATGCTAAGGAGCTCAGCCCCCACGGAGCAGCTTGCCAGTCACTGCAATTTGAATTCCCCTTCAGGGAATCCACATGGGGTTTAGGGTTTAGGGGTTGAGGGTTTAGGGGTTTCGGGTTTATTTATGTATAGGGTTTAGGGTAAGGATTGTGAAGTGCTTGAGTATCTTTAGGGGGGCATTAAAGTCCCGTGCGTTGGATCCCAGACCGCACAGATGCCACCAAACTCGCCGTGCAATCCCCACTCAACAAGTCTCCAGCTTTTCTGGGGGAAGCTTTCATTTGGGGTTCTCGAAACAAGGCGCCGAAGGGGCCACAAAGGGACTATGAAGAGTGTCTCTTAGGGATTTTGCTCCTGAACCCTAAACCCTAATCCCTAAACACTAACCCTTAGACCCCAAACCCTAATCCCTAAACCCTAATCCCGTTTCTGTGCGGCGAGGTCGCGCTGCGATGCTTGGGCCTGCTTGATGTCCTCCTTCCGAAACACTGGGATTTCTATGAGGACCCAACTAGGGGTATATTTAGGATTTAGGGTATATGGTTTAAGGTTTTATGAAGGTCTTGTGCAGATGGGGATTTCCCAAAATTAGGGGTACCATTTTGGGGCCTCAAGAACAAGGACAAAAGTATTTGGGGGTCTATATTTGGCTCTCCTGTTTTGGGAAACTACCACATGTTCTTTGCGAGATGCTTGGGGGGCTGTCTGGTCCCTCATATAGAGGAATAAAAAGACCTGAATTTCCAACAATGACCTAATCATGGGATCAAGATGGAGTTCCCAGTAAACGTCATTGCGTTGACAGGCAGAGAGGGCCCGACGGGGCAGTATGCAAGGGCTACCGTGCTACGTCGTCATACAACCTCCCTTGCTACGCATTGGATCTTAGGCTTCAGTTTTTCAGCGGTTAAGCAAGGCATTGGCTGTGAAAAGCTCTGAATTCGAGATCTGAGGCTTTAGACAGTTCAAAGCTACATTCGAAAGTTCACTTTCTGGGTATCTGGCATGCCGTCCAGCAGCAGGCTGTAATACCTGAGGAGCTTATGGACCGCATAACCCTAACACTGAACCCAGCTCAATCGCAGGCTCGCATGGTCTAGATCCTAGAGCTGGTGCACAAAAGGGGCTTTCAGCCAAGACACCTCCTTAGGAAACATGGGCAGGAATAGGAGCTGCCAACCTATAATGAAGGCTAGTATTTGCGGGGTCTATGTTGGGTCTATCTATCTTGGAAAACTACCAACTCACTCTAAAGGCTAGACCGTGTGCGCACAGCTCTGCTTTAAGAGATTTTTGGACTGTCGCACAGGCTCTATCCCATCTGGAGGTTTGCGGAAGTTTGGCGTCCCTTTTCGGGAGGCCCTCAACAAGAAGCATAAAACCCAAACCCCAAACCCTCAAGCCTACACCGCGTTTTAGGGCTTATCTGTCTATGGAATCCCCCGATTTTGGTCCTGCTTTATCTTCTTCTTTCGCCGGATTTCGCCATCAGGGCACAGGTGGCAATGCCTGCAATCCTGGGCAACTTCACCCAGCTATCGTGCAAGCGGTCAAGCTCCGTGCTTCGGGGTTGAGGAATTCTGCCTCAGTGTGCGTGCTGAGGTGTGTAAGGATCAATGTCCTGGGTAACTTACAACCCTATATACTATACAACACCTGTGTAGTCCCCCTACAGCGACCATATGATGACAGCTTAACTCAACTTCAATATGGAATTTGCCGACTTACCTGGTTCAGGTAACCTGGACATGATGGGGGCCTGGTAACTCGCCTCAGGGCAAACATCCTGGGGGAAAAGTCCTTTGACGCAGCTGCAAGTATTAGTGTTTAGGGTTTAGGGTTGCCGCACACGCACTGTACAGCAAGTAGATTTCAATGTATTGCCCGTGGCCAAGCTCGACCATCCATGCAGTTTAGCTGAGTATTCTTGCAACGGTTCCAAATAGCCCCGCTCCAAATCTTAAACATTCCTTCAACCCGAATTCTGTGTTTTTCGTAACGAACAACCTTCACAATCCAGACCCTAAAACTAACACGTGACCATCATAAGGCCAGAATCCCCTGATTTGATCCCGATCCTGATGCTTGCTGCTTTACATTGCCATGCTGGCCTTAAGACTAATTAAAACCCTTACAGCACCATCCCAAAAGAGCCACACAAATCAAGAGGAACATCATAAACGTTGAAGAGTCTTTAACACTCCCTGCCAGCAACGGAAAGCAAGATTACAAAAGCTTAAGCCACAAACTGGAATGCCGAGTTCAGTGATCGATAATCTGTACCTTAACCACCCCCCCCCGGAGGGTTGAGACTAGTCCCCCCCCTTAAGTAGATAGAATATGGGGTATATGGGGATCTTTTCATCCTATACCCCAAGCCATATTCTATCTACTTGAGGGGAACTGAAAGTGGGGTTACAAGGACTACATCAGACTAGTGCTACCTTAGGCAAGCTTGCTTGCCGTTCTTTGTAGACCCCAACAGGGTGCCCTAATGCAATCCACAACCCCTTTAAAAAGGCCAATGTACTTCACAGTGCACACTTTCCAGCCCCAAGGGATTGCAAGGGAAATCCCTACACTATGTTATCATCCCAAGTCCGCCCATATCAACGGAAAACAGACCCTAATTAAATCCTTACACCCTAAATCACTAAACCACCTCCTACATCTTCAATACCGAAAGAGACTACAATCAGAAGGAGGATGCAATCGTACTCTACTTGTGGACGGCAATATCCTTCTAAACCCTCAACTCTGAAACTGCAACTCGAAGACCTAAACCCCAGACCCTACCAAGGTAAGGAGAGTGTCCTTGCCATTCTTGCACCCTTCACTCTTCCAGAACCTGGAGTTCAAACAGATCAACTTAGGATTCAGGGTCTAGGGGCTCAAAAAAAAGGTAGGGAGGGGTTCCCGTATTAGGAAACCATATGTGCTATAGTCTAAACTCCTAGTATCCCTCGAAATAACCCCTATAGTCTATAGTAATCCCCTACATCATCCCCTATATTTCCCCCTTTATGGATTTTAGACTATAGTACATATTATGGGAATTGAGGGAAGTCTTTTGGGGCCTTGATCAGAGCATGGATGCTCCATATGGGGCCGCCGTAACCCTACACCCTAAGCCCTAAATCTGAATAAAGCTGCAAGCTGTCAGTCGAACAAATGCAGGGCACGTAACTCTGAACCCTGTGAAGCTCACGCCTCAGACTCTTAAACCCATGCCCTGAAAACTAAGAAAATTGCAGACCTCAAGCTCTACACCCTCCAACTCAAATCTTAAGCTGCCAGCTATACAGTTTAGGGTTTAGGATCCCTGTGCAAACTGTCAGAGGCAACTTCTTAAAATTCGCCCTGCAGGACGGGTGAAGGCAGCCCGATGCCCTTCGCGGCAAGGAACTCCAAATCCCAAGCCCTGCACCAACATCAGATCCACTGTCCTACATAACACAAACCGTTGATTAACAACCCCCCTCCCCTTAATAGTGATAATAGGGAATATAGGGATAATGGAAAAAGAAAATGGAAACAACTATAGTATAATAGGATGCTTAACATCCCTTAACCCTAAGCTGCCACGCATTCCCGAGCCTCACCCCATGAATCTGAGGTGTGCCCCTTCCCTTAGGATTCTCTACCCTAACCCGCGCCAAGCCCTAGAACCAAATCCCTGAACCCCAAGCCGTAAAACTGAACGCCTAAACCCTTATGATCCCCCAAACCCTTAAATCACGAAGCCCTGCCCAAACCCTAGGACCGAAACTCTAAACCGTAATCCCTGACCCTCGATTTACCTAACACCATACCCCAGGGAGCACCAGGCGCAAGGACGGCAGTCGACTCCGTGTCCAGCCGATCCAAGGGACGGCAGAACTGTAAGGCCTATAGATTCTGGTAGGGAATAGGTTGGGCCTCGCAATTTAAGCTTTCTGCTCGTCTTATAGGGGTTCACCGTAGGTTTGTAAGGATTATCGGGAATCGCAAGGGGCGCGGTTCGGTGGTTAGGGTTGTTGCCGTCAATCACCAATGTCACCCTAATCCCGCCTGAACCCCCCCAAACCCTGAGCTTCGCCCCGTACTTCCAAACCTAATTACGACACCCTAAGCTCCAACCCTAAATTCCAACCCTGAATCCCTACATCCCCAGACCCTTAAATGAATTAGGGATCCTTTTTATGGAGCCCCACCAATAAGAACTATGGCTTGTTAGGGATTTGTGCGGCCCACTATTTGGTAGTTTCCATGAATAGGGGGACCCTAATATAGACCCCAACATACCACAGTCCATTTCATGTTCCACTTTGTTTTTCATTTGATTCTCCATTACTGGGATATTGAAGATGCCCCAAATCCGAAACCCTATACAATCTCTATATAATGTTACATGTAATGATATTGCTTACGTCCCTGTGGTAGTAAGGCCCATTATATGTAGTCACTCCCAAATATCATACCCAAGAACTCAGTTTAGGGTTCCTTTGAAGGGGATAAAGGTGTTATATACCAGGTTCCCCAGTACCGCATTATCAGTAAGGGTACCCTTTTTCCTACTGTTCTGCTTTAATAAGGACACCCCAAAATTAAAAGGGGAAAAAGGGTACCACTGGGGTACCTAGTATAAGTAGATATAGAGATGTATACGGATGTTGGGTTTGGGGATAGAAGAGATTTGGGAAGTAAAGCACAGTTTCTTCGTGTAAAAAATTGGTAAGGCAGGGGGGGGCCCTCAGGGATAGTAGGGGTGTATAAATGGATCAACCAGGGTTCTGGGGTCCTTGCTATGGACCGTAGAAGCTAGGCTTCGAGAAATGCCCAGAAGGCTACTTTTCATCTATTGGTTGCTCCTATAGCGCGCAAGGTACCTCAGATATGATGTAAGTTCAGGATGTACGCTACTAGCCCACCTTAGGACTGTCCCTCTCCATTGCTGTTGTAGTAGCACTTATAAACTCTCACTAAAGGTCCTAGATGGGACTGTTACAGGGGCGGGGGGGTTGTCCAGACACTGCCCTTTATAGCCCCTAGACAGCCCAGAAAGAAAATCTGCCCCGCCAAGAGCCATGACCGAACCCCAGGGAAGACGTGGGGAATTGGTTCAGGGTTTGGGGTTTGAGGGGCTCCTCCTCTCAATGTTTCCACCAAAAAACCATTCGACATGGGTTCTTTTTTACGGACTGTGTTAGGGACCATACTGAATTACAAGAAGGGGCCCTATGTCCACCATGAATAGTCTCTTGGTAAGGCTATAATATTGACAGCTGCTTGTATGGGCTTCTGCTGGGTGTGCATGATGTACTTGCGGGGTTCTATTGGGCTTGTGGAACCTATTTGCTATATCATCTCCTGCGTCTGGTATGTCCCAAAGTGGGTATCTCCTTGCTAGCGTAGATCTACGGGGCCCTAAGCGTAACTCTCCTCCACAGGGGATTACAAGGGAATTCAGGGTGTTTGGGGCTCCGGCCCCTAGACATCCACCTGGTGCACATAAGGTTTTGGGGGTGCTTCTGCTGTAATTATACTGGGTTATATGGGTGGTTTAGGGTCTATGGTTAGGGATGGGGGCACGTGTTCACTGTTTGTCAAGGCTTCTACATGTAAAATAGTCTCTTGGACTGCTTGCTTCCAGTTAGCAAGGGATAAAGGAAAGGGTCTTTATAGCAGTCCCTTAATACTCCCCAACAATGTCGAGGTTCGATGTTCTGTTCCATTCCTCGATTCCCCGCGAGCCAGACATCTGAAATGCTAAGCCTATACATTCACAGTTTCCATATCATGTCAATTTTCTTTTTCATTTGATTGTCCACACCCTAAACCCTTAATCCTAAAACTCTAAAACCCGAAACCCTATACTGTATCCCCCCTTTACATCTACTCTGTAGCCCCCTAAAGTTTAGGGTCTAGGGTTTAGGGTTTAGGGTTACCCTAAATCCCAAACCCTAAGCTGCCCACCTTCATCCGCATGGGCAGAGTTTGCACTTGAGTCACCCATGGACGTTGGCGATGACTCCGGTTCAGCCTCTGCACTAGGGTGTAGGGGTTTTAGGGTCGAGGGTTTATTTGACTTTTGAGGGGGTGCAGGCTGTGTAGGTACAAGGGGTCCGCTTTTTTGGCATAGCGCCGATTCTTACACAGCCTAAGACCCCAAAAAGCGGAGAACACCTGATTTTGGGTTTATACAGAAAATAGGGTAATTGCAGACAGACTTCTACAATCGCCCCATCCCCCAACGGGGATTATGTGGATCCTCATCGAGGATTTTGGGATGACGATTTTGCGAAACACCCTGGAAACAAGAATCCTGCAGCACTTGTCAACCTCTTGTTGAGCGGGAGAGCGCCTTGAACCCTAAACCCTAAACCACAGCGGTTCAGGTTAATCAGAAATGAAGCCTTTGTGGAATACAGGGATTAAGGAAAATGAGATATTGAGAATAAACCTACCCCTGTTTGGGGACTCTCAGGAAGCTACCACTACAGCTGACTTCGCAACTTTTATGAACATTTCACTTGAGATCTTCTCACGATTCCTGCAGTTACCAATATTATTCAAAGTCTCTTTGCTATAGCCCAGCATGAAACTAGGGACATAAGATCACACTATAGGTAACTATGCCTACCATCAATTTTCCATTTTCTTTCCCATCTGATTCTGTATAATCTCCTATACATTTACCCCTAATCGAAAGTCGAGCATAATTATGGGCTATTGGCTTTCCAAGTCTGGACCTTTCTTCTGCACCTCCGATACCTACGCCTTGAATACCCGAAAAAGGGCCTTGTCCTTGCTCCAGATACCTCCAGAGTTGGACCCCGATCTTCCGAAAACCCCCCCATGTCTATTAGGATCCCCCGTAACCTAGGACAAACAAAAATGACTCTTTTTGAAGAAAGCTGATTTTTTATAAAGAACTTAAGACCTCGAGAAGGGAAAACATATTTACTCAACACCCCAAGCCCAAAACTCAACACCCTAAACCCTAAACCCTAAACCGCTGTCTTTATAGGACAGCCAGGGCTCCGATAAAGCTATCCTGGCAGTTGTCCCTTCAACCACGCCACCCTACCAAAGCCCCAAAATCCGCAAACTCTAGACCCCAAGCCTAGGGTTTGGGGCTTAGGGTTTACCTACTTTGGGGTTTAGGGGTTATGGGGTTTAAAAGGGGGTTGGGTATTCGAGTTTAGGGCTGTAGGGCTTGGGTTTTGAGAGTGAATACTGCAACGAAAGAAGAATAAAGACCTTCACAGAGGATTGACAAAAAGACCCCACAGCTTCATTAGGGCCTTCTAAGAACTGCACTGTAAAACCCAAACGTTACAAACCTTAAACCCTACATGAGCTACGGTCTACAGCCACCATTTCCCAATTTGACTAGTGGACATGAGTTCCTATTAGACCCATACTAAAATACCGTGGGGACACCTAAATCCACTCTTGATGGTCTCTTGGTGACCATAATATGTTGGCAGTAAAGCCCTGACACTGCAGTAGTTTGAATTTCCATGCGCTTTTCCGAGTGATTCTGCAACCGTTGAATTGATAGTAACTCATACAGATTCTGGAGTAGATCAGTGGCAGCTTTCAGGACCTCAGTTAGGGTTTAGGCCTAACTCCTAAACCCTACGTCCTAAAACCGATGCCCTAAACCCTGAACCCTGGGTCTTCTTAAAGGGTCTAGGGTCTGTGGTCCCCTTCACCAAAGGCCTGACTGCTATCTCCGGATGTTGGTGCTCCTTCCCGTTTCTGTGCACCTGCTCTTTGAGGTTAAGGCAGCACTCATGGAAGTTTAATGTTCACGATTTTCAAGGGTTTGGAAGTTTAGCCGTTTAGTGGTTCGCAGTTTAGGGTTGGTTTGGGTTTCGGGTTTAGGGTCTTGGTCTTGGCGATTTGGGGCTCAATCGCGCGAGTTTCCTGGGAAGCGACCCACACTGGCACGGGGTTTCTCAGCCGAATCTGGGACTGAAAGGCATGTCGCTTTCTGGAGCTTCATTCCCAGCTAACCAAAGGCAAGTAATCCTCACCGCTCCTTAACAACTACCTTAAAGCCTAAACCCTATTTCCTAAACCTCATAAGCCTGGGGAAACATGCCAAGTACTTAACAGGAGGTACAGGATCAGGGTGCTGGCTCAGAAGTACATGACTGCATGGTACTGAATGATCCCGAATGGCTCACCTGCAAAAGAAGACGGTCATACACATGAAAAGACACCCAAATGAACCTGCATAACCATTTTGCACAACATGAACGGGCATTGCGGCTATTCCCGTAAAGCCTACAGCCTAAACCCGGCCCTACAAGTACGTTGACCACCAGCCCGACAGAGTGCCCCCCTATTCGAACAGGCTCGTGATGACTCAGATTTTAGAGTTTAGGTTAAGTAGGGTTTGGGATTTAAGGGGTCGAGGGTTTTCGGGCCGAGGATTTTAAAGACCTGGCCCAGAACCATCTTTTGCATGCGGGCTGGCCATGAATCTATGACGAACCCCTGGGCCCCAGGCAGCAAACTCCAAAAAGATTGGGTTTAGGATCTACTTACTGGGGTTTAGTAAAGAATAGGGGAGTATGTTACATGTAGGGATTATACATCCCAAATGCAAAGTCCAGGCAGAACTAATTTAGGAGCCCAAGTAATTTCCCAAAATTAGCCTGAGATCTGTTTGAGGTACCCTGCCCAATGCTGACACAGGAATCCTAGATTCTAACCCATCTTCAAGGCCCCCTAGCACTTCCCAATGCCCCCTCAGCTTCCCCAGCACAAACCTACCCGACTTGTAAGCATACTAAAGTCAAAGCAAACGCCTATTTCTCCAAAAAGAAACCCTAAACCCTAAACCCTATAGTCCCTGTTAAGTAGATAGAATATAGGGTACAGTATTGGGCTTATATAGGGATAATGGAAAATGGAAACCACCATTTAGGGTTAAGGGTTTAATGTTTAGAGTCCCCCTTAAGGGTAGACAGACTATGGGGTATATGGGGATCTTATTTCTTATACCAGAAGCCATATTCTATCTACTTAAGGGGGACTATCATCCTAAACCCTAAGCCCTAAACCTTAAACCTAAATAGTAGTTTCCATTTTCTTTTCCATTATCCCGAAATAACACCCATATTCTATCCACTTGAGGAGGGACTATAAATCCTAAACCAGGCGAGCTGCGAAGCGCTTGGACACGCAGCTTCCTTCGTGCTTTGAGCTCACCAGCCGGGCAAAGGTGGCAAAACTCGCATGAGTCGCCTGCTCCGGCAAAGGGGTTTAGGGTTTTGGGCTTCTGAAACCTAAACCCACACTGTCCCCCCCCAAAAGCAACTATTCTGCGGCGTGGAGTAAGTAGCCCAGATGTACAGGCCCGAAGTCACGCAGGAAGGGACCCGACCACTGTCAGAAAGCCTCGCACATCCTCCCTACCTTCACCTTTCAATACAATATCTTCTTGGAGACCCTAGGGTTTAGGGGTTTAGGGGTTAGGGGTTAGTAAGCATTCTACATAGAAAGCCATGACTACCAGGAAAGGGGCCCAGGTAAGCCCTACACCGCCGTGACCTGTCTGGCAGCCGTTCGTTGTCCAGAACCAGGCACCTCTGCAGGTCCATCATGCTGGGCAAGCTAGCCAATAGTAGTCACACTTAAGCCTAAACCCTAAACCCTATTAAGGCCACCTTAAAACCCTGAACCCTAAATCCTAAACCCTATCAAGGCCACCTTAAAAACCCGTGAGCCCAATAGCAACTACAAGTGGGTGTGAGCTCCCTTGACACGAGATCCCTTTACTTTGCCAAGATCATGACGCTCAGGGCTTCGAACTTTGGGAACTCTCCCCACAAAAACTTGCTGTGGCTTAGTAGGGAATAAAGGTGTGTATTATATAGGGGTTATATGGGAATTATCTTCCCCACTCCCCCCCTACCACTGGGGGGTCCAGAAAAATAGAAATCAGGCGTCCTCAATTACGGCTTCAGAACCTCATGCGATTCTGAGGGTTTTGATTCAAACAGGGATGGTCTTGGTCTAGGACTCGTAAGCTTTTGAACAAAAGTTTGTAATACAAGAAATGGTAATTTCCCCAAATAAGGGGACCCCAGTATAGACCCCAATATACTATTGTCCTTATTATATTTTGGGAACCCCCCAAATAGGCATTGGAGTCAAGACTTGACATCTCTGGGCTGAGCTGGGAAAGTAGTTTAAAAGGACTGCCTTTAAAAAGCCTTTTCTTGGGGCTTCCAGACCTGCAAGGGGTCAGGGATGACAGATTAAAGGAGGTCTCCAAACAATGGTAAGTATTCAAAGTCCAGGGTATGCTGGACTAGCCCCTTTGCCCGAATTATATCGGCCAGAAATCCTAAGGTTTCGAAGAAGGGTCGAGACCAATTGGCTTTAGAATCAAGTTTTCCTCGTATTTGGATTCTGGATATCTCTGAGGGCTGAGCTCGGAAAGGATTTTGAAAGGGCTGCCTGCAAAAATCCTGGGGATCAAAATGTGCAGCTTCTCTTCTCTTTTGGGTCCCAAAGCCGAAGCACGGCTTGAAACGTCTTCCCACGGCTTATGCAGAGAAACATCCTAAGGGCTTCTTTCTCGTTGACTAGGTTGCTGTTAAGGAACTTAAATTAGCCTACCATGATATGAGTTTAGCGTTTAGGTATAATAACTAAAGGGTTTCCGCACTATAGTGCCTTAACATAAGAGCCTTAACAGCTATCCAGTTGAGGGGTTGTCTGCGGCTTTCAGGCTCCACGCCGACTTTGGGGACTTCCCATAATCTTGGGGGTGCCTTTGAAGGCGTTTCTGTGAGGGACATACAAGAGTTTTATGTGGACACGCAAGGATTTCATAGGGCTCACGCAGGATTTCTGGTTTTCGAAAATTAGGCGTACCTTTTTTGGGGAGTCCCCATAACCACAACGATAAACTAGACCCTAAACCACGTTTAGGATCAAGCCTGGTCCAGGTCTGGCCCAAAATTGATCCCCAAAAATACTGTAGTCCTGATTATGGGGATCCCCCGATTAGGGTTTAGGGTTTAGGGTCGGCCATGAGTGGTCCAAGTATGACTCCGCACACCGTCTGCCATAGGCCCATTAGAAACTAGCATTATGTGTGTGTGTCTCCCAAACCCTAAACCTAAACCCTATATACCCTAAACCCTAAACCCTATACGAAGCCACGGGATGGTGCCTGGTTATAACTTGAGGTTTTCCCTACCTAGACCTCAAACCCTGAACCCTAAATCCCACAAACTCCCACGTAAATCCCCGTATCCTTGTAGGGTTTATGGGCTTAAGGTTAACGGGTTTCGGGCTTTAGGGTTTAGGGAACCCCCCAAGTTATGGGAAACCACCAAAGTTCACCAAAGTCAGGCACATGGTTTGCACTCACCGCGTTCATGCCGAGCACGGTCCCAAGGTCCAGGTGTTTCCTTTGTTCGTTCTCAGCAGTTTCGGTCTAATGGCTTATGGTTTTAGGGTTTTGGGTTTAAGGGTGGAGGGTTTCAGGGCTTACGGTTTGAGAGCTTAACGTCTAAGGGTTGACGATTTATGGCTTTAGCCGCCGTATTGCGCAATCTTAAGCCACAAAAGGAACTTGTTTTAGTAATTATGAAGTTCAGTGTTAGGAAGTTGTCTATATTATTGCTCCTAGCATGGGGGGAACGATATAGGGAACCTGATAAGCCCTGATGAGGACTGTATTTTCTGGGGCCCATATACAGGGGTATACTGGGGAGACCCATAGCAGGGCTTTGGAATGCTTAGGATGTAGGATTTGGGAAGCCCCCATGGCCCATGGTAACCGTAAACCTGAAATCCTGACCCTAAACCCCAAACCCTGACCCCAGCCCTAAGCTTTAACCCTAAACCCTCCTCCCCCCTAAACCCTAAACCCTAAACCCTAAACTCAAGGGCTGCCAAGCTGCCAACGTGGCAGTTAGCTCGAGCTCATGGAATGACAACTTCCTAAGTTGCTGTCAAGGAATTAGGGTTTAGGGTGTATAGGAGTTAGGGGTTTAGGGGTTAGGGTCTAGGGGTTTAGGGGGGAGGGTCTAGGGGTTTAGGGGGGAGGATCTAGGGGTTAGGGTTCAGGGGTTTAGGGATCAGGGTTTAGATTTGGTTTTAGGATGAAAGATTTGGAATTTACAGTGTAGGGATGTAAGGTGAAGGGGTTTAGGGTGTAAGGGTTTAGGGTTTATGGTTGGTTTTTCCGGCTTTTGGTTTACGGGTTTAGGCTTCCGGGCCCGAATGATGACCCCCCCCCCTCCAATCTAGCAAGACTTAAGCTTATGTGATAAGAGGAAGGTGATTTAACAAGTTCTTTTCCAAGATATAGGGCTTAAGGCGTATGGTTTTGGATTTAAGGTTCAGTATTCAGGGTTTAGGGCTTGGGATTTGGGGTGCAGGGTCAAGTTACCAAAATAAATTCCTTTTCAAGGAGGTATATGCGTTATGTAAAGGTAATATGGGGCTACACAGGGGATACTATTGGGAGTTACCAAAGCACCGAGTTTAAACAAGATAGTCATAATGGGTTTCCTTACAAAAAACCCATGGGCTTACACAAGAGGTTAGGGTTACGTGGCCATAATACAGAATCAAAAGGGCAAGCAAATAAACCGCAATCAGACAATCCAGTCATTCACCATGTGGGGGAGTTCATGACACAGGCATCCCCTTTCAGCCGGTTGCTATGGTGAGGATCGAAGCCTGACAATTTGGGGGTATTTAGAAGGGGTACCCCTATATGCGTCCGCGCTCCGCGTTCTCAGCCCCCATGGTATGGTCACC